CTTCTGTTCAAAATGTTCAGAGGCTCCTGAATCTGGTCACCTTTAAACTAAGACCGTTTGTGGGGTTTTTTTATGCCGGTAATGCTTCCCTTTCCTTGACTGTTAAAGTCAGTTCTTTCCAAGGACACCTTTCTCAGCTTTCCTTATTTCTTGTTCTGCTTAGGGACTCCTAAATCACACACTGGCAGCCACTTTTCTTGCATGGTTGACTGTTAACTCACTGTTGCAGGTTGCTTGGCTGACCTGCAAGACTCATCAATAACCAACCATGCATTATTGTAACTCAATAACCACAAGCTTCCCAATGCAAACCAGCTGAGTGAAACAGCCAGCTCTGATGAAAGAGAAAATAATTTTGAAGCACGTATTTGCTGAATCTATTGTTTCTTGAATTACAAACATTCAAGTGTCTATTGCAGACTGCACTTTAGGAGTGTCCTTGGCTGTCTCAATGGCACTGCATTCTCACACTGCAACACTGTCTAGAAATTCCAGTTTTGTGAGAAACTGAGCTGCTGCTGCTCACCAACAATCAGAACTTATTTATTCACAGGTTGTCATTCCTCAGCTGATTACAGCAGTACTGTTTATATGGACAATATGTCTTCCCTATTTAGGGAGTTTTGAGAAGTACATAATGCTGCAGCACAGCTTGGAAACACAAGTTATTTGTAGGTATATCAAACCAATCTCTCTGGCTTTCCGTAGAATTTAAATTAAATTCAGTATCTCAGTCTTATCTTCAGAGAACATAATTTCCAGCACAACTACAGTCCCAAGATAATAACTGTTGTTGACAAGAACAGCACTCCTGGCCATGGAGGCAAGGTACTCTTTTCAGGAGACAACTCACAGAGACCTGATTGCAAACAGCAGAATGAAGTTTTCCAAAGACAACAACAGAGTTCACTCCTCATCCTATCCCAGCTACAAAGCAGACTCATTTTACCTTGCTTCCTTCAATCCAAATGTCTGTTTTAAAGACGTTTGTTTCTCAGTAATTAACCCTCACTCTATGAAAACAAAATGTTTCACATGCTCTTGCTCCTCTGTGGAAGGATACAAGTATAAACAACATGAAATGTGTTCTAGGAGAGCAGAAATTTCCTTGTGACACCCTTTCACTTTGTAATACATAATGCATTACCTCACATATTTAATGTTAAATGTATGCAGTGGTTAAGAAGAGATTCCAAATGCAAATAAGCAGCTATGAAACTATGCCAGAAACAATAACTTCTCATGATGAAAGCAAGTTAAATGTACTTTAAAGACCCTGTAAGTACTTGAAAATACATTTCCTTTTTCTTCTCCCCATATTAAATGGAACTTTCATGCCACCCTCCCACCAGCACAAACTTTTGCCTAGCTCAGATATGCTCCTTACATGTCTCTGTACCTGTTAGTAGCTCACACACATTCAAAAGTTATTAAAATTTGACACATTGCAGAGCTTTTGACGCTCTTGACTCTTAAGCCAGTCACACTAAATGCCTAAATTGTTTTGGGCATCAGAAGTCCCAGAAAGACTTGACAGACCTGCTATAGCTGACAGACAGTGCAGAGATGGTCTCCTGATTTCTGCAGCATAATCTGCAGGCAGTGCTTGCTGGAATAGACAGTTTGCCTGATGCAGTATGGGTGTAGTCACCCTGCTCTTTTTTTTTGTCTCAGAAAAGCTGGTAAAAGCTAATACCAGTTGCTGCACTTTTTGGGAAGTAACAGACAACATTCAAACTCAAACACAGGAAAGTTTTGTTCATAACTGTTCTTGCAGGTTCTTCATGTCCAGTAAAAGCACTATTACTATTACATTCTGGAAAGTTGCAGGACCAATTTATGTCCTGCATAAAGCAATCTCAAAGGACCACACTATTTTATTACTCTTAGTGAATTTTGCTCATGTCTGTTTTCCAATTTGCCAAAACAATTTGCAAAAAGGTGAAGGCACAATACAGCAGTGATTGTGACTGACTGCAGTTTATTGGTTGTGTGGTGCATACAAAACAACTCATTTGGGGTGTCCTCATGAGATCGTTTCAGAACTATCATCCTTGGTTGGCTTGAAACAGAAGAATTTTCAAGTGGTACAGGGAATTTTTTCCATAAGATTTATCTCTGTAATATCTTTTTCTCCTAGTATTTGATGAGCATTGTTGATGGGGTTGTACAATAGTGTTCTTGTGACTTGCAGCTGTGTTTTTCAAATGAATATTTGTCTTGGATTCTCCGTGGAATCTCTCAGCAGCTTTTATTGATGTTTCTTGTAAATGTTAAACACTACATCAATTCTTTGACTTTCTGCACCATCATGTACTGCTGATAACCAGGTACTTGTTAACTTTGTTTATTCTTTGGATCACACTCATTCCATCAGTGACAGATGGCCTGCTGTGGCTTCAGTGTGATTTGCATTCCACACAGGCCCTCTACCAAGGTTGCCTGCTTTCTTCTTCAGAGTGATCTATCCTGTCTTGTCAGTGGGTAATGAATAAGACATACTGAGTACGCCTGCTTGGAGCAACACTTTTTTTTTTTTAAATTCGTTGTTGTTGTTACATCTGTTTTGAATATTACTATTTAGAGATCCTTGCTGTTCCTGCTCTTCTTTGGTGGAAGAAAATACTCTTTCTCTCTGTAAGTCCATAAATGAAATTTCTTTATGAAACAATCACTCTTAACATGATTAAAAAAATGCAGGGCTGCTTACCTACTTTATGTGCTTTTAGGAGGTCATCAATACCATCTGGCAGGACTGGCTGATAAGCTGACAAGATCCATTGGTCATTATTGATTGGCTTTATCTTAAGAATTTCAAGCAAGTCTTCAATACTTGGCCTTTTAGAAGTCTAATCATCTGAACTTGTTCAGTATTCACTCAGATACATACTCTGTTCTGGAGATTCTTGGCTGTTTTGTGTCTCTCAGCTATTTTTGACTAATATTTTGATGGTCAGCAGCAAGACAGTATTCAGCACAAACAAAATCTCTTTGAACTTAATTGACTTGAAACTAAATCCCTTTAACCCCCTGCAGTCTGGAAGGCTGAGTGGACTTCTTCAGCTGAGCTGATGTAATGGAAAGCAGGAAGGTCCTGCTGTCCATTCCCTTAAGGAGTCAGTGTTTTTTGTTTAACCATATTCATTTCACATGTGCAAGGTGTTGAATTGTCTATCCATTTACCTTTCAAAAATGGCTCCTCATGAGGTCAGGAGAGGACTGTGGCTGGTACAGGAAGGAGTAGCAGCAGACAGTCATAGTCCAGAAAGAAGAGAGCAGGACAATGCCTTTGGTAGCAGTCATGTTAGAGCCACACAGCTACAGCAGGAAACTATACCTTGAAAGTGTGTTTTTTTTATTGTTAACTTAAGATGTTCTAATTCTGTGCTGCTTATCTTCCCCTAGTCCCACATTCCCAATTCCTTCCTTATTTTGGCTCCAGCAGTTGTGTGGTGAGTTGAATCAACCTGGCTGCTGATCAACACTTTGCTTACCTGAGAACTCATAATTTCTCTGTGTGTTAATTTTCAGGTGGATCTGACTCACCCTTTGGTTGCATGATTACTAGAACTGATGCAAGGCAAGAAATGGAAATACCTGTAGAGGAGGGGCCAAAATCTTTTTTTTCCAGCTGCAGATCAGTCTTAGATCAGTTTGAGTCAGTCATGAGGCTATAATCAAACAAACTCTTAAAGCTGAAACTGCTGTCAGAAGAAACAGTCCTGCCTCCCTGCTCAGTGAATGCAATCCTTCCCAGCCCTGTGCCACCTCCATCTGATATTGATCTGGTTCCCCATGCAACACAGCTTGGCTGCATGGCTGCAGGATGATCAGAACAATGGGGTGAGTGATTTGATAACCAGTTTTTCAGGTTCACACCTCAGGCCAACTCCCGGGCCTGGCTCTGCCTGCAGCAGGTTGGAGGCTGGTGCAGGGCTGGAGGGATAGAGGCACCATCTCCATCAGGGCACCTGAGCTTGGCATGAAGTCAAAGCACAGCTGCACATCTGGATTTGCTGTTCCTACACTGACAGACTGCCACAGCAGGAACCTCACCAGGCTCCAGGCACTGGCAAGTCCCCTATGGGCAAACAAGCCAGTGGAGATGGCCAGGGCTGTGGTGCCTCCCTGTGAGGTGAATGGGGACTCTCACCTGGGAGTCATTGCCCCAAAACCAGCGCTGCACACGGACACCTCCTGATTCCAGCAGCGGGGATCACCCCACCCCACGCTGTGCTGGCACTGATGCCCACATCCCAGGGCGTCAGGGCCCTGTGGGTGCACAAAGCCCCTGCTCATGACCTCCCTCTCTCCCATCTCCAGAGCAGCGGCCCATGGAGCCACCATGCTGGGTGAGCCTGCTGAGGCCACACCTGCAGCGCTGGTTGCGGTTCTGGGCTCTGCAGCACAAGGGAGATGTGGAGCTCCTGGCTGGGTCCAGTGGAGAGCTACAAAAATGATTAAAGGACTGGAGCATCTCTCCTGGGAGGAAAGGCAGAGGAGCTGGGCCTGTCCCGCCTTGAGAAAAGCTGATTGGGAGGAGACCTCACCAATGTGTATAAATATCTAAAGGAGGGGTAGAACCAAAGTCAGAGGATAGAGCCAGGCCCTTCTCGCTGTGCCACGGCAGAAACTGATGCACAGAACTTGCACACGAACATGAGGAGGAACTTCTTTACTGTGCAGTGACCGTGCACTGGGACAGGCTGCCCAGAGAGGGAGTGGAGTCCCGCTCATTGCAGACACCCAGGAGCGCTCCGGCGGCAGTGCTGCTCTCCGGGACGGCCCTGCGGGGCCGCGACGCCGAGCGCGGTGTCCCCGGCCGGGCCCCTCAGGCACGCCGCGCCTCCCGCCCCGAGCCCCGCCCCAGCCACAAACCACGCCCCTTTCCCCGCCCCCCGGGCGCGCGGGCCCGGCGCGCGCGCAGTCGCGCGGTAAACAGGCCCCGCCGGCCCCGCCTCCTCGTGTCGCCCCCGCGCGCAGGGGCCGCGCGCGCGCCGGCGGCTGCGCAGTGTCGGCACATCCGGGCACTGGGGCAGGATGAGCGCTCCTTTCCAAGATGGCGGCGGAGGGAGGTGGGAAGGAGATGAACGAGATTAAGACCCAGTTCACCACCCGGGAGGGGCTGTACAAGCTGCTGAGCCACTCGGAGTACAGCCGGCCTAACCGCGTGCCCTTCAACTCGCAGGGCTCCAACCCCGTCCGCGTCTCCTTCGTCAACGTCAACGACCAGAGCGGCAACGGGGACCGGCTCTGCTTCAATGTGGGCCGGGAGCTCTACTTCTACATCTACAAGGGGGTCCGCAAGGTACCGGGGCTCCCCCGCCGGGATGGGGCGGGGACTCTGGGGGCTCCGCGCCGCCCGCCCGCCGGGGTGCGGGAGCCCCGGGGCCGCGCCGGGGGCGGGGGAGCGAGGCCGGGCCGCCCCTCCCTCGCCGTGCCCCCTCCCCCGGCCGCGGGGCCGGCGGCTCCTCGGCTCCCGCCGAGCTCCCGGTTAACCGGGGAGCGCCTGGCGAGGGGGACAGCGGGCCTGGGGCGAGGGCGGTGTGAGGACATCGGCGCCGGGCCGGTGCTGGGGCTGCTCCAGATACGGTGTCACCGGCGGGAGCTCTGTGTGTGTGTGTGTGGGCCCTGTGCCGGGATGCGATCGCTTGGGCCCTCCTTGTGCGGAATGAGGGCTGGTTGGCTTTCCCTCCCTGGGCCTCCTTCACCTGCTGCTTCAGGTCAGAATTTGCTGGACACGCTAATGCCTGTTGTGATTATGGTGGTGTCAAATCCCTGCTTCCAGGATCTTCCGAGCTTTGGTTGCATGGCTGAAGCATTCCGTGCAGCTTTAGGCCTTTGTTATGACTTAGAAATGTGGGTTGGTTTTAGAATTGTTTCTAAATGGGAGCGGTTGCAGTGCAGTCTTAAATATCAGATAATTGACAGAGAGAAAGTTGCTTTTGCAGGAAAGAAAGATTGATGTACTTGAGAGACTCCTTGCTTGTCATTATTGGATGCAGGACAGTGCACGCTTTCGATCTCTCAGGTCACCATATTTATGAACAACCCCTTGATTTTATGGGATTCAGAGAACAATTGGGAATTTGCCGTGCTAGGTGAACACATGATGTAAACACAGCTATAATGAATGTCAGCTTTCTGTTTGTGTCACATAGTGGACGTTTGTTATTTTACATGCTCGGGTCTCAGGTGCCATCATGTGAGTACCTTGAAACCTTCCTGCTTTTAGCTCACCATTCAGCATGGGAAGGGGGCACAGGGAGCTAGAGACTCGCAGGAGGCTGTGCAGGAAGCTCGTGGATGAGCAGGGGATTATGCCTGGATCTGCTGTGTCCTGGGTAGTGCCCCCAGCACTCCTACTTTCTGTAAAATGTCGGCACAGCAGGAGTTTAAAGTCTACGTGCTTGTTTGTTGACTGTGACCTAACAGATCTGATATGTCTTGTATAATTATATGTGAAAGTGTGTCTGTGTGTATTTAGTTTCACTCTTTAGTGAATTTTAATAATCTAGGTATGTTTCAAATGGTGCTTGGACAATGGCTTCTTTAGGCATACGAGGAGTATTTAGTATTGGACTGTATTCCCTGCTTACAACCACTTGCAGTCTTTACAAGGTATCCTGAGGAGCAGTATCTCTGAAAATCTATATCCTAAATCGTTGCTGTGTTTGGGTCTTGCTATGTTTGTTTTTTCCATGCAGAGTTCTCTCCCTCAGCTCACAGAGCAGGCCTTTATGTAGTTTAGTAATGGCACATGTGATTCTTGCAAGTTCTCTTAGTCATCTCTTGCCACACTTCTGAGAAATAAAAATCTAAAGGCTGGAACTTCGTTGACAGTAAGGAGTGGAATAATTATATCAAATTACAAAAGACTTCTTGAGCTGGGTATTTGGATATTGTTTTAGATGCTAAAAGCTACTGGTATGATGTACAGTAGCTGAGAAATTTGAGTTTGTGAACTCAGGAGGCATTTATATGTGTGACAGTGTGAATGTGAAACACTTTTTTCTCTCAATAGAGTGAAACATACACATTGTTAGGACAGAATTAATCTCCATGACGTTTTACAGTATTAACTATGTAAGATAATACTGCATATTCTATATGTATAATACTTTAGTGAAGTGAACCTAAAGAAAGAGCTGAAATAGATTGACTCAGTGTAAGGAAAACTTTAAATGAAATGGGAAGAGGTCTGACTTAAATCTGCAATACTTGCTGCTTGGGAATTTATTTTGGAACTTCAGTTGGAAGTAACTGTTTTGTCTGTGTACAAAAGTGAAACAGGAACAGGCTGCCAGCCTGTCAACTGATCATGTGAACTTTTCAGAATCAAAAGTTCTGTCTTGTAGCTGTCATAAAGGGGAGAGAGCTGTTGTTACCTAAATGGACAGGATGTAATTCTGCCTTAAACCGGGCAGACTGTCACATTCTGTGTTCCTTCCTGTTCCTGGGAGCAGGAGGGGGAGAGGGATTTGATCTGGTTAAGACCAACCTATTTGTACTCCTTGGCATAATACAGGTGCTGATAACTTTAGTTTTAGCTGTTAGTTCATAATTATTTATATATCCCTTAAAAATTTTCCCTGATTACTTAAAGATCATGAAGTCATATTGCAGTATTGAGTTGAATGTAATGAAGATGTGCTGTGTAAATATATCAGATCACTGTGATTTTGTCTTTTTATTTTTTCCTTTTTTTTCACTTTTTTTTAAGACTTCATTTGTTGATGGGGAAATGCTATATTTTTCCTAAAATGAGTGAAAGAACCAGCAGGACTGTATTTTAAGTGACCATGTCTGTTAGGTGCTGAGATAATTCTTGCATCAGTAATCCTTTGCAGATCAGTACACGTTAAGGAAGAGCAACACTTAAGCCATGAATGACACTTAAGAATAAATAACCTAATATTGAGGCAAAGATACCACTTGGAAGGATATTTCTTGACATCAATAATGCTAATCTTTCTTCTTTTAGTTTCCTTTAAATCCTAAATGCTTTGTGTCTGCTATATCTGGTTTGTAAGTCACCTTTTTACATGAACTGCTGATGTGTGTGTTGTCTTAGGAGATTTAACTTACATAAGGAAAAATGTTTCCAGGTAACCTTGATCCTTCCAAGGCACCTGGTGGAGAAGTTAGGTCTGGCATCCAGGACAGTGGTGTGGAGATTGGAGTACAAATGGACAATCCTAAGGGTTTGGTAGAGAGACAAGAGCTTTGGACAGCATTTGAGGCTGTCTCTAGAGACTTTTCAAAGCAAAAAGGCACTTTCTCCCAACTTCATTCTTCATCTCTTTATGAAGGAAGCTGAGTTTTTACTATTTTATTAAAAATCTAAAAACATTATTAAAAAAACCCCTGATTTTTTAAAAGTAATGAAACGTTGCAGCTGTCTTTGTGTTTATAAAGCATTGCAGACTTCCAGAAAACTCCTGTTTTTTGATTTGGATCCACTGAAAAAAAAAGACACGGACCTGTAGTTTAGTAAGAAGTTAAACTGTGACAGAATGAGATGTGGTTGGTTTACTTAGATAAGTATGTAATTGTTCTTAACTGCACTGAGTGTCAATGGACTTTCCCTTTCAGTCCTCCTTTACTTTGGCTTTCAGGTGAGATGTGTGCAGTGATCTCTCATTAACAGAAGGGGTGAATTCCCATGAGCTCCCCTGATCTGTGACAGCTGTAAGTGATGGACTGGCAGTGTGGGATCCTGCTGGCAGAGTGCTCCATCCCCTTGTCTCTGGCACTGCTCAGCCTCTGGTTCAGCCAGCTCAGCTTGCTAAACCAGCTGCAAAATCTGCAGTTGTTGTGGGCAGATTTCCTCTTGATTTGGTGACTTGGACGGTGTCAGCTTGGGGTTGATGAGTGCGGTGACAGCAAGGAAAGGCTGGAGGGGCTCAGCCCCTTCGCTGGCCTGGGCTGGCTGCTGGGATCCACTGCCTTGGAGGCCTCTCCTGAGTAAAGCCTCTGCTTCAGCCTTAAGTCACTTCTGGAATTATCTGTTCCTGAGGGATTGTTGACTTCATTAAGAGACTTAGAGGTGTTAACAGAAGCTTTTCCTGTTATTTTAAGCATTTCCCTCTTCATGGAGTGAGATTATAATGTAACAATTCAAAATTTATTCAAATTATGATGCTCTGATGCTCTTGGTGGGTTGCTTTTTCCTACAGCCCCTAACCAGGAGTGAGGGCTGTTACTTGATTTTTGTTTATAAGACAGTCTTGAAGGATTTAAATATGGTTTGTGGCTAGGTTTGCAAAATGATTTATTAGTTGATTCATTAGGCTGGAAAAAAAGAGTGCTATATCATCTTCCTTGCCTTAGGAGTGGCTGACAAGGCAAGGCTTTCCAGCCTGCTGCTGACATTAACTATCAAGTCCTTTTCCCTTCCTGCTAGAAAGCTTCTGCATTTTCCTTGTAGAAGTTGTGTGTGTGGTAATGTGTTATTCTCTGTATGTTGTAAAAGTTTCTGGGCAGGTTCATCTGCAGCTGTCATTGCAATGCAGGTACAGGTTAGCAATAGTGTTGCACAGTGCACAGGCTTAATTTTTACGTAATATATTGAGAGGTTATGAAATTTGAAAGCATAGTTTAGCTTATTACAAGAAAACCTTTTGCACTGTAGTTAAATTCTGGCTGTATACTCTTTGGTAACGTATGGCAGACTTTCTTAACATTGGTTGTTTCATTTTTTGAAATCACCTCTTTGCAAGAAGGGGTTTTGTCTTTAGTTTGACCTTTTTCTTGCAGCTGCCTGAAGCAGCAGTCTGTTAATAACTTTGGAATATTACAGTGTGTTGCAGTAGTGTTGGATTAGAAACATACACAGGTGATAAGCACAGGTTGCTGGAGCCATGGAGGGCAGAATTTGTTGACTGTCTTTTTAAGCTTTACTTGAGCAAGTGTCTTGGAAATTATATTTGTACTAGGATGAAAATCATCTCATATCTCAACTTCTTTTATTGAGAGTTGGCATACTGGTAGTGCCTGCTTATCAGTAAAAAGACTGATGTATAGGATTCCTTCCTTTGCACTTCTCAAAATTACTTTTTTTTGTGTCTGGTTTGATTTGTTGTGCAGTTGAAGAGTGTTATCCTTGGTGGTGACTTTCATTCTATTGACTGTTCACCTGGGAACTTGTTGCAGTGACAGAATGGAAATGGGTGACATTTGTCACTGTGCTTAATATATTGCTCTGAGAAGAGCAGTGTCAGGCAGTTCTAGGCTGGAAGCTGGGATGTGTGGAGAAAACCATCACATTTTCTCAAGATGTGGTGGGAATGTGAATTTATATTACTG